TATAATATATATTAATTATTATTTTAATATAATTTACAAGAATTATTATATATACAAGAATTTTTATTCAACAATTTAAAACATAAAAATAAAAACTATTATAAGTGATTGTTACACTTGTGTGTAATGTTCCAAAAATTTTTGTATATTAAATATTTAATTAATCAAAGAACCGCGACATTTTGCAGAACAAAGGCATCGACGGTTTTCAATATGAGAGACGGAGAAGATAACTCGCAAGTTCATCAACAGGATGCCAGATAAGTACTCGAGGTTTCTTCTACGGTATTTCGAAGTATCAGTCTCTTCGTTATCTCAATGTTGTCATACGCACACACATTCGCGAACGTAGAGACAGTCTATAGAGCATCCTTAGAAACATAGTGGAAAAGAAACCGAAACGAACAACAACTACACACCAACAGTAAAACTACAATATATCATCTATAATAACAACTACAGCAACAACCAACACGCCTGCCTGTATATCGCTCATTACTCATCATCATCATCATCTTCTTTGTCATCATTCATCATTAATCGGCATCTCATCGTCCACGTGGCACATTGTGCTTGAAGGAATTGGCAAGATCAAGAAGCCGGAAGCTTCTTCAAACTGCTGGTAACTCAAATTGATTAACATCCGATTGTTTACAATGTATAAAATATGATAATAACAGATGACGTACGATGATTTTGGATGAATTAGTTTGAAGATGTGCTATAAGCGTTTATCTTCTCTCTTTTAAACAGCTTCAGCGATGTCTAGATCGTTGTAGACGTCATAATTTATTATTGTTGCAATAATGTATTAAAACATACATATTTGTGCGACTTGTTGTTTATTATACAATTCTTTGCAGCGCAACGTACAATATCGTTAAAAAAAATTGACGATTTGTTAGAAGAGCTTGTTTCATATTTATTTCTCCGATATTCTCTTTTATAATCCTAAGTAGGTATATAATTAAATTAGAGCGCTGCAAAGAAATAGATTAGATTAACGATTGAATGAAACAATAAAAGATTCGCATAAATTACGATTCTATATTTTTTGGATCTTGATATTTCCAAATATCGTTTATTTTTTTTTAAATATCCAAATATTTATCATGGATATATAAAAGGATTCGCTGGAGCAGATACGAGTTTGCATACTAATCGGCATCTGTCAGTAATTAAAATTACATTTTTTGTTTAATTACTTTGATCTTAGCAAAGAAAAAATAAGGAAATTATAAGAAAGTTAATAAGAATTTATACCATGTTGCATTCCTAATTAGAAATTAGCTTCATCATTGTTGTTTTATATTCTTTCCATTTTTATTTATTTATTTTAATTTTCTCGAGAATTAATTGGAAAGTACATAATTAATTTTAGAATCTTCCTCAATATTCGAGATTTTGAAAAATTAATATTTAAAAGACTAAACATTTTTTTAGATATATTTTTGAATACATTTTCTAGAATGTTGCATCAAATTCTTGCAACCGATACGTCAATCGCAAAAAGTAAAAATACACAAAAAGATACGTCGCTGTAAATATTACAGCAATTTGCAGGATCGAAATGTATTCCGCAACAAAAGATCGCAAGGAGCCAAGAGAACGTGGCCGAGGCACTAAAAAGTCTGTTGTAAATAATATTATATTTATGTTTCTTCTTTCATGTGTGCGATAGTCCCGATCGTCGAGAACTATTCCTCTTGAATCCCCATTTAAAGATTTATATCCACTCCCAAAATACACCACTGTAGCATCTCCTGTACATGCATATCTGACTGAATGAAATTTGCATGTACTTGAGATTGTTCGGATACTCGAGAGTGTACAATTACTACGCATATATATATCGTACGAGGACAACAGATCGTAATAAAATATCGCAAAAAAAATTGATCTTTTAAATCTCAATTTTAAATGAATAGATTCTTAAATAGGCAATCTGTTAAAAAAGGTGTTAACAAAAACTTGTGATGGTGTAAATTATTTAATGATAAGCGTACTTTTACATTAAGTTAAAGCAAGATATGTCATCATAGATTGTATATATCTGCGACAAAATGCATTTAAGGAGTAATGATGTGGTATCGATCGCTTATGAATTTGATGATATAATTAAATATGCAGAATGCGATATTTTATTACATTCTCTTTTTTCTCTTTATGCGAGTAATCGATTGATTACCGTCAAAACTTGATACAAATGAGATGTTTTGAAGAACTGGAAATGTTTGAAGATAAGTTGGCGAGCGATCTGAATAGATACAACATTTTCGAGTAAATAATTGCTTTCTTGTGGAAACTCGAACGCGATAACGTATCGCAAAATAGGAACGATTAACGGAGAGAAATTCCATCGGATGATACGTTCCACGATCGTTCGATCTCGCTCGCCGCTAATATCGTCGCGTCTGCCATTGCGGTGAGTTAATTACGAAATGTTGAAAGTGTAAAATTTTATCGTTAATACTTGAGGATACCTCTTGTGTGAATTCCGCGGGTATACGACAGCACTTCTCTCGTTGCTAGTTTACCCATTTCCCGTTCATTAGTTTAATTCCGACGCCTCTGTGCATCTCGACGAAATGTCTACGAACCACTAGATCCAAAAGCAAAGACTTATTAACTCGACTCTAATATATATTTAAACGTTAGGGCATCTATAAGCTGGAATCAAAGTGCGTATTGTGCACGACATAGATATTTATTGAAGCAAAGTGTCGCGAGCTGTAAAATGTATCTAAAAAATCGGATAAAAATGTATTATTACTCTCTTATTTTATCAATATTTTTTGGATTAATAACTATATATAAAAATATTTATTAATTTTTCATTACTTTTTTATTAACAATGAGATTTAATTCATAAAATGTAATGCTTAATTTTTTCAAAAAATTTAATTTAATTATACTTTCTAGAAAAATATTTATATATTTATTGCGATACTTGGCTGCAATTTATGTCCGAGGGATGGCATACGTCGCCGCGATTGAAACAACTTCCTCTCTTACTTCTGACCTCTAATCTCAAATAGATACACGTACAGATGAAATAATCTCAATATTACTAGAGCAATGAGGAAAGTAAAGTAAGAATCTCGTGAAAGAAATATATTTACGTTAAATTTGTGAATATTCTACAAAAAAATCAAATATACAGACAATCTAATAATTGACATATTAATAATTGCTTGGACCATAATATTGATTGGACCTAAATATTATTTATCTGGAATTTTTTATATTTTTATAAAGATGTTAGAAATAGTAAAATTTTATTAGTGACATGCGAGATATTATTGAAAAGTTAATTTTTACAAAAAAGTAGCGCTGTTGTTATTTAATTATTGCCACCTCCAACTGTTTACATTTTGAATTGCGGTTATTGCTGTCCTAAAAAGAACATAATATGATTGTTAAATATCTTTTTCGTATCAAACGAATCAAGAGATCGAAGGTGAGGTGGAGAGGAAGGAAGATGGGAGAAAAATAAAAAGAAACAATTAGTTAATGTGTGCCACCGTCATATCAAGCCTATATCATCGTGTTACATCATATATAGCTAACTAAGCAGAAAAATTAATATTATCGTTAATTGACACAATTGTTAACACGAAATGAATGTTTGATGTATGAATGTGTTACGCGCACCTGATAAAAATCTCAATTTAAAAAAAAACTAAGGGCATTTCACTTTCTTAAAATATGAAATTTTTTATTTTTGGAGATTGCAATAATTCAAATATTTAGATCTCACTTTTATGATGATGTATATCGGGTATTTTTCAAATTTTTAAGTTTAATTTAATTTTGATTGATGTTGCGTGTGAATATTGAATTTAAGATATTAATTCTTTAATATAGACATAATGTAAACATAATTTGGTAATAATCTGATTTTTATTTTGCGAAAAACCGTGATGTGGATATATGCATGAACGGAAGAATGACAGACACAGACAAAATATCGGATCGAATTTCTTGTTGACTTATTAGATTCTATACTAACGTAATATAATATAATAGTAATGTATTATCCGATCACATACACACTCCACGAGTTTCTTTCGATGTCATAGAATCAATGTCGTCCGCATCCGAAGGATGAAAATGGCTCGGGTGAGAGAACGAACGAGAGGGAGGATGCGATTGATTTTCGCAACAGATCGCGCCTAAAATCGTTAGAAACATAATAATCGGTAGCGTAATAAGCACTCGTTAAACTTTAGGCCCGATTTTACTTAGCAACAATCGTCGTCACTTGATCCTCTCGTCCACAATCTAGAAACATCGCGCTGTCATTTCCGTCAACGAATTATATCTTTAAATAAAATGTGACTTGTTCGGAGAAACATTACGTTAAATACTTTCTCTAAATGCTCTCTCACGCCTAAAATCGTTTTTCAAAACAATTACTCGAGAAGATATTTAACCACGTAAATCATGATAGATCTTTCGCTGTGTAAATTATCCATCGGCTATTATCCAGATCCTCCTCCCCTCGAATCTCACCGTTTATACGGTACTCAAGGTGATCCTAAAGCGAGACTGCAGAGTGAGACGAGAGTGAGAGGTTGAGTGAAAGAGAGCGAAAGAAAAGCGGTCTTGATATTATTTTTTGACTCGTGATTATTAAGTGTCCGCGATAAGAAAATACCAAAAAAGTACGATTTTTATGTGAATATTGTAAGGAAAACCGTACCGGCGTAATCGCAATCCTTATTGGATGCTGCTTCAAGATAAAAAAAAATTAAGACTCTGAACACATCATGATTTAACAGAAATCGAGATTCTGTGCGACAAATCAAAAGACGATTATCATATATCAAAATGTTTAATTTTTTTTTTTAGATCGAATATAACAAATATCGAAGCTTTTTATCTTTATCATCATTTTTCTCCATTATGCTGGTAATCGGTGCATTGCAGAAAATTCTCACTGAGAAGAATAGATCAGCATCCAATGCATCTGATAAGGCTCGATACCGGTACGATATGATTCCAAGCCACTCCTTTTCTATTCTCCAATTTCTACGTATTTAATCGCTAAGTGAACAATTGATAACAAATTTAACGAAGAAGAAACGCACGAGGGAGAACGCTTGATTAAATTATTGTGTAATATTTATCGTTAATAATCTCGAAGAAAAGTCGACGCAATACAACTTTCGATCGCGTGTATATATCTAAGCGGATGATAATAATATGCGACAACGCGGAAGTATAATGTCGCAAAAGTGTGTAACAAAAGTGCGCATTGAGCAGAGAGTGAAAGAGAGGGAGAGAAAGTGGGAGAAAAAGAGAGCAAGAATACGAGTGAGATAGATCCTGTTTTGCCTAGAGAGAGAGTCCTTGCGACACCAATTAATTAACCGTCTCGTCTATGTGGAGTGAGTGTTGCGCTTAATCCGCCGAAAATCGCCGAAAATCGCACCAACAAATTGCTCTCACGTTCATTTTTTATGATTTTTTCTCGCGCTTCGGTGATTTCCGGCCACGGGCAGGAGAGTTGATGATTATAAACGAGAGAGAGAGAGAGAGAAAGGTACTGGCAAATTACGGTGAAGAGTGCGACGAACCTAAAAATAAGATTTATCGAAGTAAGTTAAGAAATAAGCTAATTAAAGTAACAGTTTATTAAAGTACATTGTTGCAACTGCCATGCTGTGTGCCATTATATAACGAGTCACGTTTGTCGTAAAAAGCAAAAAGAACAAAAAAAAGAAGAAGATATATGAAGCGAAATAATTGTGTGCGCGTTCTCGTCTGAAATTTTTTAGTTACACCGCTTTGAAATCGCTGGATTTACATCGTCGTCCTTACGATAAATTCCTCTTGATGTAATGCAATATTTATCATACAATTTCTCGAAATGACAATTTTAGTAAATAATATAAATACAGAAAAGAAGTGATAGAGTATATATATGTTACATATACATATATAAATATATATAAGTAAAACGTAACGAAGAAAAATGTACCTTTTTTTAAATACATACTAACTTAGCTTTGCAGATAATTTTACAGATAAAATGCATCATACACACTGGAAAGTACGTCGAAGGACAACGGAGTAAATTTCTGGCAGCAGATATCGCGAACGAATTCGCTCGAGCTCGCGGTATTCGCGTGCATTTGCTTGCGCGGATCGACATGCACATTAAATAGCACGTGACACAACCGAGGTGTATTGTAATTAATAAATATCGTAATTAATGTACGTCAATACGCGCGCAGGCACGTGCACGATGCGCTTCGCACTTTTGCGTTCTTCTTCACGGTCTATATGAATGAAAGAAGTCCTAAAAAATAAAATTCAAGACGGAGTTTGGTGCGACGATCCGTTTCTACGATGGCGAAACGATTGCCAGAAGAGGCAAGAATTTTGCTTTAAAAAATGCATCCTGCGAATACTCTCTTCCGTATATAGGTACTCCGATTGACGTGGCGATTACGATAAATCGTTGAATCGCATATTTTCTTGTATAGATATAAATAGAAAGGTACTGGCAAATTACGGTGAAGAGTGCGACGAACCTAAAAATAAGATTTATCGAAGTAAGTTAAGAAATAAGCTAATTAAAGTAACAGTTTATTAAAGTACATTGTTGCAACTGCCATGCTGTGTGCCATTATATAACGAGTCACGTTTGTCGTAAAAAGCAAAAAGAACAAAAAAAAGAAGAAGATATATGAAGCGAAATAATTGTGTGCGCGTTCTCGTCTGAAATTTTTTAGTTACACCGCTTTGAAATCGCTGGATTTACATCGTCGTCCTTACGATAAATTCCTCTTGATGTAATGCAATATTTATCATACAATTTCTCGAAATGACAATTTTAGTAAATAATATAAATACAGAAAAGAAGTGATAGAGTATATATATGTTACATATACATATATAAATATATATAAGTAAAACGTAACGAAGAAAAATGTACCTTTTTTTAAATACATACTAACTTAGCTTTGCAGATAATTTTACAGATAAAATGCATCATACACACTGGAAAGTACGTCGAAGGACAACGGAGTAAATTTCTGGCAGCAGATATCGCGAACGAATTCGCTCGAGCTCGCGGTATTCGCGTGCATTTGCTTGCGCGGATCGACATGCACATTAAATAGCACGTGACACAACCGAGGTGTATTGTAATTAATAAATATCGTAATTAATGTACGTCAATACGCGCGCAGGCACGTGCACGATGCGCTTCGCACTTTTGCGTTCTTCTTCACGGTCTATATGAATGAAAGAAGTCCTAAAAAATAAAATTCAAGACGGAGTTTGGTGCGACGATCCGTTTCTACGATGGCGAAACGATTGCCAGAAGAGGCAAGAATTTTGCTTTAAAAAATGCATCCTGCGAATACTCTCTTCCGTATATAGGTACTCCGATTGACGTGGCGATTACGATAAATCGTTGAATCGCATATTTTCTTGTATAGATATAAATATATTATATACGTACATATATACATATAATATCTGTTAATAATAATAATTTATTGCGCGCTATAAGAAAAGTCGTTTCGTTATTGCATAGTGTTGTGTAGAAGATTTATCGATGTTGTTATTATATAATAGTTGTCTTTTTTTGATATATGTAATTGCCTCGTCTATCGTTCTTAATATAAATTCGCAGGAGATACTGATAGCGTTATTATATCTTATGATGCAAGTAAGTACCGATGAGATGCTCCTTTAATTTTTACAACTCGTTTATTTTGTTTGTCAAATTATCTCATGCTTTGAACAAGTTTAATATAATTTTTGGTATATTTGGTATATGTAAGATATATAAATTTTGTGGAATTTACATTTTAATATACATATTAAATGTTTTATTTTTAAATAAATTTAAATTTACATATAAATTAGAAAAAATATATTTTACAGATTATAATATTAATCCTATTTTTACAATGTATAAATAATAATTAAAAATATAAAATAAATGTTTTATTTTTAAATAAATTTAAATTTACATATAAATTAGAAAAAAATATATTTTACAGATTATAATATTAATCCTATTTTTACAATGTATAAATAATAATTAAAAATATAAAAACATATTTTGTATTTAGTAAATTTTAATGAATTAATATGGCAATTCGTTACGTAGCAACGGATCACCGTAACAGCACGAGCCGATTTCGTGTAACGCGATGTCTTACAATAGCGAGTATAATCCACTCTCGCTCTTAGTTGGCGATCAATGGTTTAAGGCAAAAAAAAAGAAGGATTACTAAATAACTATGCAAGTAAACCAAATGAGATGACGTCGACCCATTATAGATTCAAGCACAATAAGGACTAGTAGGGCCAGGCACAATAAAATTCGGCCGTCACGTTGTAGGCAGCGATCTGTTAGAGCGGACAAGTCGTATATATAAGTATCTATATATAGCGAGACTATTAAATAAACACATATTGTCTATTGTCCGACGAGTGTATTTATTGTTGACGCTGATCGTTCCCTTCTGCAAGCCTCTGAGCAATCCGATTGAATTGAATAAATATCTCACAGAAGAAAAACTAATTTTTATTTATTAATTCCTCAGTGTTTTTATTCCTGAACATATCTAGTTAAATTATGTATCACCGACAAAGGTAAAAATAGCCAGTCTTACGGGTACTCGCTTAGTTTGAAAAATCCACTGTATGCTAACGATCTCTTTCAGAAAATATAACGACCAAAGTAATAAGTATAGAAAAAATAATAAGCATTGTTGATAACAACAGAAATGCAGTTACTCTAGAAAGAAAATTATTTTCAAAAAGAATCGAGAAATAATTTGCTATTATTATTATAATTCACAGTTGAAAATATCATTATTCTTTAATTATCTAAAGGCCCATCAAGCTCACTTAATCGTAACAAAAATTGAAATAATATGTGCATTATTATACACATATATAATTCGTAAAATTGATATAAACAATGAAATTATAACATATATAATATCTGAAGTTTTCTTCCAAGCTTACATCTGAACAGAATTTCTTTTATTTTAATTGCAAATACATAGATATATATAGAAATTACTAGCGTTTATAATTAATTATCTAATTAATGTAATAATTTAAGAATTTTAGATTATATTATATAATGAAAAAAAAGAAATGACGGATATATAGCAATAAATATGAATTCTTTAGTAATAGAAGGTAAGTTGATTAATACAAAAAAAAGTTACGTTTGAGTTAAGATGTAACCTAATTTACATTTTGCATAGAAACATCAACAGTTTATCAATTTTATAACTTGATTACCGGTTTCGATTACATTATAAAGATCGCGTTAAATATATAATAGCACAATACAAAGTATATTGAACATGTATACATATATATATATCAGTAACGTCAATAACAAGATATTTAATTTATAATTTATAATAAAAATTGAGATGTGTTTAATTGACAATTTATAATGCAGAGCGAACCTCGCGTATTCGATTGGAGCAACATACTAAAATATTCGCATCTATGTGTCCCGATGAAATCCTTGATCATTATGATACTTACGAAACCAGGGAATATCATACGACGTTGTTGCTCGGTGACATTTCAGGTTGCGGATCAGATCATCCAGCCATTTGTCCAATTTTTATATATTAATTGTGCACAATTAATATCATTATCATAATATTATCACGCGTAATTTTAATTTTACGCATGCAGGCTTTACAGATCTCACGGAAAAATATACGAAAACCGGTGTCGGCGGTCCATCTAAACTGTCGGAAACCTTGAACAGTTACATCGGTGCGATGGTGCAGGAAATTCTCTCGCATAACGGAGACGTGGTGAAATTTTCCGGCGACGCGTTTATAGTAATGTGGAAGCTCCAAGAAGGAATGTTTATGCGCGATATCGCGACAGAGGCAATGCAAACTGCGTGTGTCATACAGAAACATTTCGGAACTTACCAAACCGACGTCGGCGTAATTCTTAAAGGTTTAAATGCGCTAAAAATTCGGCCAATGTCAAATTTTAACATTTTAAAAACTTGACTATAAAAATTATGAAAATCAAATTATATTAAAATTCAGTAACATAATTGAAAAACTTATATTCTTTTTATATATATAAGAATAACTTCTAATAGATTATATACATATATCAAGACCGATAATTTCTAAAAGTTTATTATAAGTTATTGAATCTCTATTATATTTTTGATAGTAAAACTTGCCATTGCTTCTGGAAAGACGTACTTCACGTCTATTGGTGATCCAGAAACGTTGTCGTATTATGTTATCACTGGGAAACCTGTCTGGGATGTAAAACTCGCCGAAGGATTATGTCGGTAATATTACAAACTTTTAATTCCTCGTACATTGTGTGCAAATAAATAACAATTATTTACTTATTTATATATCTCTATCTTTAAATTTATATGAGAGAATCAATGAATATCAGAATATAGTATTTTTCCAATTTATCTATTATATTTTATTATTTTTTATGGAAACAATAATAAAAAAAAATGACAAATTAATATTACAATTTCTATCTAGAGGAGGCGATATTCTCGTGGCACCCAGTAGCTGGCAATGGGCGAATCCTAATGAGTATATCCACGAAAAGTTACCGGATGGCATACATACCCTGATCATAGCCTGCTCAGCAATGTGGTATCAATCTAAAACTCAAGATATATTAAATAATGACATTGAGGATGGCACGTAATTTTATATTTAAAACAATAAATAAAAGTATTAAATCTTTCAAATAATAATGCGTATAATTTCAATCATTAGACGACATAGATATCGAACATTTAGAACGCAGAGATTTCGCTTTTGCATCATTCGATACCGATGTAAGTAGTGCAACTTTAATGGATCAGATAGACGATAGTTGGAAGGAACATGGTTTTGAACAAGTCGATTATAGTCGTGAGTTTATAGAGAATAAAAATGTATAACATCCTCGTCATAATACTCTCGTTTACATCATTTCGATATGAAGATCACGTCCGGCAATTACGAATTGTGCAGTGAGGCCCAAAGTCATCAGGGTAGCTAAAGCACTATTGAAAGATTCATTGAGAAGCTACATTCCCAGACCAGTGATACGATCCGTGGAATTGGACGAGCCGTTGGAGCATCTTACAGAGATGAGACAAGTAGTCATACTCTTCATCAATGTCATTACGGCGAATGTGTATAAGGAAAGATTGATCTCGCTCGTTAACAAGGCTTATAAATTAGTCTGCGAGTAAGCGCAATTGCAAAATCATCATTTCCTGTTTTCTTTATTATTCATAATTATATTAAAAGCAGCTATATTTATACACAGTTTTGTCCATATATATATGCATCAATGTGCGAATAATTTTATTCATTATACGCATATTAATTTTATTTATTATGACAATTTGTTGAATAAAAATTAATTTAAAGAGGAATTATCCGTAGTTATGTTTTAATGGTGCGTACAATGAGCAATATTTTTTATCAAGGCTAGTCAACGAAATGCACGGATGCGTGAACAAGACGTCTCTCTTCGACAAGGACCTGATATTCCTTTGCATATTCGGATTGCGAGGCGATAAACATGAGTTGGAATCGCAGATCGGATTGAGATGCGCCAGCAGACTGCGGCAGGATCTTTTAGCGATGAACAATATAAAATCCGTAACGATTGCCGTTACCACTGGGATGACATATTGCGGTGTGATCGGTCACGTTTTACGAAGGGAGTATACCGTGATCGGAATGTCAGTGAACAAAGCGGCACGTTTGATGGTCGCGTACAATAACAAAGTAACTGAATTATAAAAATATAACAAGATAATTATTCGCTCTCCGTTTTTATTTTAATTGTGTGCATATATCTTCATTATATTATGCTAAGTAGATAAATTTTTAGTTATAATTAAAAATTAAATTGAAAAGTAGAACTGGTATAGATTATTTTTTAACAGAGAAAGTTTTAGCATTTAAAAGTGATAAAAGTACCTGATTTAGCTCTTTTATACTAACGTAATTTTTATTTTTTTTAGGTGGTGTGCGATCGTGAGAGTTTCCTGCATTCTCGTCTCGAAGCAAGACATTTTATATTGCAAGAGCCGAGACATTTGAAAGGAATCACGAACATCGGCCCTGTATACGAGTTTCAGGAACAGACAAAGTAATTTTTTGGTAATTATTATTTATCTTTGTAAAATTTTATTTTTTCTTAATGCGACAAGTTGACGTATTATTGTAGATTTACTACGCCTGAATTAACAGAGAGCAATTATCCTTTGCTCGGCCGAGAAGCAGACATCAAGGTTTTCCAGGAGATACTGACGAATATGATAGAATATTCTACCAGGGACAAAACAACGGAACATTCAAAGCCCGAATACAACACACTAATTATAAAGTAAATTTTAATTTAATCTTTTTAAATATTTTTAATTTTTATAAGTATTAATTTTTAATGATGCTAAAAAGATTCTTAATTATCAGAGGCGAGCCGAGAATTGGCAAAACAAGATTGTTGGATGAAATAGCACAGAATATTCCCACAGATATACCATACAGTTATATCTCCCTGATGATGAGCGACGCTAAGGTTAACAAGATTTTTCTGCTTTTATTTAATTTAATTTATGTTTTCAGAAACACGTAAAATACATAAAAATATTTCTCTTTCATATTCTACTTAAAAATTTCGTTAATATATATATATATATATAACTATTTATTTATATAATATTTATTTGTCATTAATTCTTCGAATTAAGCTTTAAAGATCGGTGCTGAACTGATGGAAATCAATGGTTTCTCTCTTATCGTTAGCACAGGCTTCTTACAATTTGATCCATATGATCTTCTCCAAACCGCTGAATTTTCACATCACCACCAGTCCAAGAGAACGCGAGGATAGATTGATGTTAGAACTAGGCCGGATACGCGAACCTGAATTTCTCTGCGCCCTCAATCAGCCCTTCAACGTTCATTTCGCGATGAGCCCACGTTACACGGCTCTATCCGTGCAAGAGAAGCGCAAGATGCTAAGAAAGCTTTTGCTGAAGCTGCTGAGAAGCTGCTTCAGGGAACTATGGGTGATGATCATCGATGACATTCAGTATGGAGATAATGAATCCATGCTATTATTCCGCACGATGACCAGGCGGAACATGGTCTTCTTTGTTCTTAGTATCGGACACAGGTTCGGCGGAGAATACGAAGTGCATCCTGGCATTTTCGAAAGAGCACAAGTATGAATATCAATTAAAAAACAAAATCAAAAAATTATTCTATTTAGAAATATTATATTTTCTTAACTGTTTATATGAATATTATTTTTTATCATTTTATATTCTAAATCTGTATATTGTAAAAAATTTGATTTACATTTAGATAAAAAAATAGTTCATATGATAAGAAATAGCAGTTACATTTAAAATCTGTTTTTTAACAAAATATATATTTTTTTCTTTATATTTGCAATTCAGTAAAAAAAAAAGTATACATAAATATGTAAATTGTCTTTTACTATTAACAGATTATTGAATTAAGTCACATAGACAAGTGGTATCACGCAGCACTAGCGTGTCAGATCCTTCATGTGTACGGAATTCCTCCTGAACTCGAAAAGTTAGTCATTTTATGGAAGATATATGAATCTTTACTTGCATGTATAATTTATGCATCTATATATATGTCTTTTTGTTTCTCTAGATTGATTCAAGAAAAAAGTTTTGGTAATCCAGGATGGATAGAAAGCTATCTGGTAAGCCTTACGCAATCTGGCAGCCTTTTGATAGTATATGTACGCAAAACGCTAGCCGAAGAAATGGGTTATGTACTTCCTCCCATCACTATGCTACAAAGGTTTAATTTAATTTTTAGATTCTAATTTAATCGATAATATTTTTTCTAATATAAAATAAAAATTTTTTATTGCGATATAACGTAAAATTACATAAAAGCCAAATTTTAAAGTTTAATAATACGGAATACAAATTAATATAATATCTATTATAAATATCATTTTTTCGCAGATAGTATTTTAACAAATGTTTTTTCTTGTAATAATTACAAATATAATATTAATATATTAAATTAACAGTATTTAGTATAAAAATATTACAAATGTATGCCAATCAGTAATTGTTTAGATTTGTCTCAGAGGACATCGTGCAAAAAAACGATGTTAACGAAGAAAATCGTTCAGACAAATGGCAGATGTATCGGACAAGTTATCGAGTAAGAGAGAAAGAGAAATTTTCTCTCAATAATTCTATAACAAGTAATTAACAAGTGGTTAATAAGTGATATGTGATTTTAATTTTAGAATGATCCAATAACTTCGCTACATCTGCAACGGGCCGTTCATAAATCAGAAACAATTGATGATGAAGAAAAGATCGCTGTTTGCAAATTCGCGAAAGGTTTTGTACCAGAAGAGGGAAATACTGAGATGACAATGGACGGTAAAAAATTAATGATTATTACTAATTTATTAGTTCATGCATGGAATTCCACAATTTTAAAGGATATATTTATATATTTTCATAATATAACTTTTTTTCTTTATTTAAATAATTATATATATATATAGTTTTATCATTTTATAGACACATTGTGTACAGTTATCTATTCTTCTATATAAAACAATTACAATTAATTATAATACAATTGTGTTATATGATGCCAACAGTAATGATCTTGAAACTCTTCGACTCATTAACACCATTGGATCAACTACTACTAAAATGCGCATCAGTGTTGGGAGAAATTGTTAATAGAGACATGTTACGATATCTAATGGAAGATAAACCTGCTAGAGAAATTGGACTCGGTAAACAGATTAAGAAAATGCAAATATCATATAACGATCTTTTAAATTGAAGTGATGTATTCAGAAATTATCGTGTATCAATTTATCTTTTATATTAATAATTACGCAATTTAATCACGTGTATATATGCGATTAAAAGGAAACAAAAAAAAATTGTTTAAGGTAATATTTATTTTTATCGCAGCCATTCAGAAACTCTTCGAAATTCGAATTTTTGGATGCGCGCGGGGTGATTTTACTACAGGTGGTAGGCCATTGGTATTTTACAGAAATATAAAAAAGATTAGCGTCGAGACAGAAATTGAGTGCGATTGTATAGGCCTCATAATACGAGGTATATTAAAAAATATATTTTAAAGAAGTTTGAATAAAGAGATCATGTGTCTCGTTAAAATTCTTTATAATAATGAAAATAAAATTTATCCAGATGAACTAGCTGACTTGCCGCGATACGCGTCTTGCGGTTTAATCCGTTTCAAAATGTCAATGTTTCGCGAAACTACTTACAGGTATTGATAATTTTATTATTGCCATATAATCCTAATCAATGACAATATTGAGATATTTTGAAATTGTCCTTCTTAAATTCTATAAAATAAATAATACTTTAAATATTAATAAAATTGTATTTTACTTTTTTATATACGAAGATCACTTACAGAAAATCAGAAAATAGAATTGCACAGCAAAGCATTAAAATTTCTTCAAAGACATATCAGACGATGTATGGCATGTGGCGAGTTACAATTTGGAAAATTGTTAGGCAAAACAACCGTCCAAGAAATTAAAAAAAGAAGAGCAACTATTGAGCTTCCCGAAACGTATCAACTTGAAGAAGCGACTTACACTCTCAAAGAAGATGCAGACGACGGTATTATACATAGAATTAGTCTAAAGCAACTCTGAATTTAGATTGAATCTGGTTTATAATACAAAAATCTTAAAATTGACAAAGATTTTAATATCATGTTGCGATAATGATATATGTGTATTAATGATATTTAAATAGTTAGCCATCTTCTAATAATATATAAATATATTGTCCGCTACAAGATATGCAACAAGAAAGAACACCGATTTGTCTCAATATTTTCCGAAAAGTCAGGAAGCCAATCAAAACCTTCTCTAACGTTGACTTTGCCAACTGCCAATGCCACCTTATATTAATAACCGTCTATGCGCAAATGTTAGATCATTGTCAAGGAATCGGTGAGTCAACGTAACAAAGAGAGAGAGAGAGGGAGAAAAATATTTTTTCTTATTTTATAATTATATAATTAATTATGTATTTTCTTATTTATTTTATAAATTACACAAACTTAACTGCTTCGTTTTTATTAGGAAAGCCAGACATGATCTTGATGGCAATTCTGGAATTTGTAGAAGTGTGTTTGGCAGATAACAATGTACCTCAAGCTCGTAGACTTTTGAATGATGCTGAAGTTGTGCTTCAGCAAGTAAGACGAAATAAAAATATCCTAGAATAAACAATAAACTTAAAAAAAGAATAATGATTCTTAATGACAGATGTTCGAAACTCACAAAGAAGAATCAATATTCCTGTCTTATATCACCGCAAAAATCCGAACGTTTCAAGGTAGATGCCATCTGGAAAGTGGTCTACTTTCCGAAGCGAAGAAAAAACTGAACGAGGCAATGAACAGTCTGGGTTATTATTTTCCGGAACACAACTTCCCGATTAATTTGAAGTCGACAATACAACTCGAGTTGTTAAGATGGAAACTGACTTGTCCCAAGCCTTGGAGAATCGACACCGTCGATGAGCTCACTATAAATTATATCGAACAATTGGCTACTTGCTTAGCACAAATGTTTGAAGTCTTTAGAGTAAAAATCGTTGTTTTGCTCCGCAAAGATATATTCGAGTTAATAGAGTTATAGATTATTTTTTATAAAAAAGCAAATTATTATTGCTTTACATATTTATCATTCTTATTACTCATAATATTAAAACTTATTTTACATCAAATTTTATGAGATTTGATAGAATTATAATCAATGAATATTTGCAGGGAACACAAGGAATGATAAACCACGCACGATTAGCAGCTATATGGAGCTTGAATGCTGCGTTAGAGTCGTCGAGAGATTTTTTCACGCTCTGCACTTCGTTTACGAACATGATGCTTACTGCTCACGTCTATCGAAAAAGGTACCTTGACAGATCAAATAATTAGAGAAAGTCCATTTTAATTTTATAAAATTATCAGACTGGTAATCGTCGCAGATATCAGAAAACTATTATGATCCACATTTATAGCGTTATTAAATCTCATTTTTTTTTTCTATTGAAACAATAGTTAAATTATTTTAATTTTTTAGCCGGTCAGTTATTCCTTATTTGGAAAAACAGGCTCTCAATATATGTGCGAAAAAAGGGGATTTTCTCGAATTCCAAGAGCTCAAAGGCATCGCCGAAGTTTATGCTGGAGTATTTTTCTCGCGATGGTTGAGAGGAGAGATTAACAAAGCGATCAGAATCGGCTTTATCGTGTCAAGGATGGCGCAAACCATGGATTCCGTGTTTCTCAAAACGCTCATACTACCGAGATTAGCGCACTTGCTCATGATGTCACGTCGTCATTCAGAAGTCGTAGTTTTATTGAGAGAATTGGGTAAGCTTTTAGTCATCACAATTGTTTAAAATGAACAGTTATTAACAAATCGAATCTATCAAATACGTATAGAATAAACTATATAACAGATTGAGTAAATATAATTAATTACATATAAAAGCGTATTGAAAAATTTAATATAGAATTCGCGTCGGAAAACGACTTGGAAAAATCGAGCCGCACATGGTATTACGCTACTTGCGCCGACGTACAACTCGACACAGGCATTACAATACTCTCATTTCAAAATTGCGAGCAATATTATCTTAAAGAAGGGGAGTCCATAATCAGCCTGCACGATCCCGAAGCGGAGAGACGATATTTCACCTCCATGTGGCTGTGGTAAAGAGAACTTTTACTTTGTGAATTATAATTGAGATTAATCAAAAAATAAATTATTATTATCATGTTTATTAAAATTAAAGCTCTTGAGATTTGTTCTGATATATATATATATATATATATGTTTCATAACAGAACTACAACCATTGAAAGTTGATGTGAGTATTTGAAACATTTTCTGTCAGTCTGATATTGTTTACATTTTGTAAGAGTTTGTAATACATTTGTAAATAAACAAGTTAAATTAAATGTCTTCTTTCTTTTCTTTTTCAAATATTCACATCAATTTTCAATGGTTGTAGTTCTGTTAAGAAGCATTTACAGACATATGTTTATTAAACAATTTCAACTTTAAATAACTTCAATAACACGCCTTTAATGTATGGACCTCGAGTCATAGGACACCCTGTATATATATATCTTATAAAAGGTGTATCAGAACGGAGCAGTGGGAAGCTGTGAAAGTTTGGAACAGCAGGAACGTAACAGCCGAGAGCGTGGTGGACGAGCACAAGGTGGCTGCGACGATTACGGCGTTGAAGAAACTTGAGGGACTGCTACTTTTGTACGGTAATAAAAAAAATATAAGAGTATTCAATCGTTACACAATATTCGTATTTCGTCGTTACCAAGATAAAGTCACAAATTTGCAGTGCGGGAAGTTACTAATAGAAACATCAACGCGCTAAACACGATGACAGAAATTAAAAATATATTCAAACATATCGAAAATATGGTAAAGATTGTAAAAATTGCGATTCCCAGGTATTAAAAAAACTATTAATTGGTCTTTTCTATTTTATCTATTTGCAATATTCGAAATTATGTTTTAAGAACATTGCAATTTTAACTCACTTCTTTTATTGGAATAATTATGATGCTATAATGTTCGCAGATATATGTTAATGAAAGCTTACTATTATATGACCCAATCGCGAAAAAATGCTGCAATAAAGATGTTACAACAAACGAAGAAATTATCTATGAAGGTAGATAACAGAATGATTTATACATGGGCAAATCATTGTCAACAGGTATGACATAATTTTTATTATAATTTGATGTGATTTCGATAGTTAAATTTTATTACATTATTTATTCAGGATTGGATGGGCGCCATGTCTTCCATACATGAAGATTTATGGAAAGAAAGAACTATTAAGTTAGATTATATTCAAGACGAAGTGAATGTTAACGAATCGATCATGATACCTTTTACCTTTCCCTTGCCGAAATATATTTTGTAAATATTTATAACATATTATGTTATTTGTGTAAATATATCTGTTAAATTTAATTTTTATGTAACCTTAAATAAATTAGTAACATGTTATAATATTATAACTGATATAATAATATGAATATTATTATAAGA